CAAACAAATAAAGAGTTAAAAAAGTGTTAAATTAGACATTTTATGTTTACACGCGATGAAAAGCTCCTTTTCACAAATAAAGTGAGCATATAGATTCAGGGATTCTGTCATCTCCAACTTTCGCCTTAGATCGCGGTCATACTTTGCGAACCGCGACGGCCTCCTCTGATGCATCCAAATGAAAGGCGATAAAAAAGGACGACGAAAATGTAGAAACATATCAATCAGTTTCTCTCGGTCATTTAGCATTATGCGCACTTACGCAATAAATCTTTCGCAATCAATCAATAGTGACCCCTATTTCGCCTGTCGGAAAGTATGAACGCAATCTAACAGGCTAATAGAGCTACGTGAGATAGCTCCTGCGCCTTTTCTTTTGCCAAATCACCTGGGAAACAAGCCAATTCCTGAAGTATAAGAGCTAAGAGAGAGGAGAGTTGGCCATTTTGAGAAGAACTACGTGGCAGAAACATTCTAGTCAAGAGCTCAGGTACAGTACAGTACAAGTGTGCGCGGAGAACGAAGGGCGAGTACAGGAAATCTCATTAGTCGCTTTTTATATCTGGTCAATGACAAGAAGCCTATTCCCATGTGAATATGGTTTTCAAAAAAGCCCCCGGGTGTATGCTGTTTGGCACGGCCCCTCTCATCGCGCAGCCTTTTCGATGCGGTTTGTAAGCTGCACAACTCGTCCAGGTGGTTCAACCTCCTGACCATGCTAATCGATGCAAATAGAGAGGTTGCAAGTAGCAATTCGGTGTCAAATAGTAGTGGCGTCATCGATGGGGCAAGTATAAGCTGGAAAGGCAGTAGGTTGGTCGATTAGCATGTCAGGAGGGGGAACTGCTTGGACGAGTTGTCCAGCTCAACTGTTCAAATGAGCGGCGCGATGAGAGGGGAGACGACTGCTTCTCGCTCAAGACACAGTAAGCGATGAAGCCTCGATGGAACTCTTCTTTTATATTCTTCAAACTAACAGGGTAGTGGATAGAATAGGGCCTTAAAAGGGCCTCCTACAAGAAAGGGGATGACGATAGCGATGCAAAAACGAAGTGAATTCGACGCTCCTGTCATGCTTGTCCCCCTATTGGCTCTAAGACGAAACACAAGAAATAAACTTCCTCTCCCTAATATCACAGATTCCCATGAGGATACAACAACTAAACCACCTATATAACAAAATTCTCCAAACGATGATCAGAAACACATCGAGAATAATGAAGGCCTAGATTCGAATACGTGATGTGTCGACTCGGAACATTCTTCGGACGAGAGCCACTTGAACGATGCCGACAATAATAGCACTCATACAAAACAGTATCACATAGGTCTTGATAAAGTAAGAATTCTTCTCTTGCAATGCTTCGTCTCGAACCGAAACCTGAAAGGATATGGGACTCAGTGTAACCATAATGTTCAACCTTCGAAATAGAATAATTAGGATAATTTGATAATTTAGTAATAGTAATTTTAATGATTTTGGATAAATATCAAAAAAAAA